ATGTGCTGTGTTTACGGTGATTTACTCAGTAAATATTCGGTGACTTGAAGCGAAACGCACACAGCGAAATGGAATGCAAAATGTGTACAATGTACATTTTGTTATTTATAATAATACTATTGCTGCTATGCAATATCTTTATGTGGTTCCAATATTTTTTCTCTGGTTTGAGATTATTCAGACTATCCGTCTTCAAGGATGACACAAATAATGAATACTAGGAAAAATTTTTCAAGCAGTTGTAAGTGAATCTTCGCTAAGAACTATATTTTCATGCGAAATGGATTGCGAATGCATTAAATTGCATCCAATGATTTTGTAATGGAAAAAGAGAAATTAAGGCATTAAAGACAAAATAGATTCGAATTGTAGACTGATAAATGGCGATTAATCGACATAAAATGTTTATATTAGTATATAATTTATTATATATCATTTTATATGTAACGACATTCATCTCTATTACATAGTTCGCTTTATTTATATCAATTAATTCGTTACAATTCTGCTTTTAAACTCTCGGTGCCTTTAGGATTTATTTAGACTTGCATTCCATTCGGTATTTATAACGCTCGCGAGTATTATTTATTCTTGTTTAACATTTGATAAACAATAAGGATGAAATGGTTCCAAGAACATGGCGAGCATCAAGTAAAAGCTTAGAGTTCGAAATTTGCGCATGCGAGAATTTGTATTTTACAATTCGATATCTCGAATGAGAAATATAAAATAATATAATCTATAATATAGTAGGTGCACAAAAGCCGATATTCATAATAGGTTCTTATTTCAAAGAGAGCATCTTAAGTAATGTCTTAAGATGCTAACACAGCTCTGTGATTGATTTATAACATCTTAAAAATATATTTAAGTGATCTTAAATATAAGAACTGATTATGTAAATATCAGGCAATCATTTTAAAATATCAATGAAGATTCGGCAGGATATCCATTAATTTCGAGAATATTGGCGCAAGAATTAATATCCACAAAGATTTTTCATCTAACAATCGAATCGTCGATATAAGAATAATATATCACATGTAATATCTATTAATAGTACAAAGTCGTTTGCGATAATGAAATGGAATTAAAAATAAAATATGTTATGGAAATATCTGTTATTATTTCCGTAATTATATTCATTTTGTTATGATTTCTCTTCTGCTTATTAAATATTTTAAGAAAGAATTGTGTATATATAAGAGAAGATTACTAGGATAGTCTTCAAAATTAATATAATACGTAACTATAAAGTTTTCTGAGATCACGATAATAAATCGTGCGTATGGTGTGTGCTGTGTTTACGGTGATTTACTCAGTAAATATTCGGTGACTTGAAGCGACAAACACGAGAATTTTCTGGAAAATTCATAAATCATAAGTGTAAATCTTGAATTAGTATTTTTATGCAAGAAATAAAATTTGAAACATATATTATGAATTACATCTCGTGATTTTTATAACATTGAAAGTTGAAATAAATTCGAACGGTGCTAATGGATACAAAAAGAATGGTTAATTATGTGAAAAGAAATATAATCATTTGTTTTGGCAATTCATCTTGCATAGATATTTTATTTACACATTAATTCGCTACAATTCTCCTTTCGAAATTAGTAGTTCGTTTATAAAGTGGCTTCCAAACAGTTGCTATTCTCAAACAAATTCAAAATTCATTCATTCAGTTTTCCTTCAAAAAAGTAAATTTATTATTTTCAATATTAAATACTGAGGGTTTAACTTTTACATAAAATTAAATTTCTACTAAACTAAAGACTCATCTAAAATTACTTTTAAAAAAAATGGAGTTTCTTTATACTTATAACCTAATTGTCGAAAAATTCTTCATTAAAGAGTCAATACCTAACTCTTAAATTTTTAGGAGGAGAAGCAGTCAATTTAAAACTCATCAAAGAATACATTATAATGATTCTTATATTTTCCGATTAATCTTGTATTCACCTTGCCTTTTATTGCTCGGAGGTAACGGCAGTATGCGAAACACATTGAGATGTTTACAAAAGCTCTCAATTCAATATACTCATTAGATGTTCGAGATTTTAATAGAATAACATTTCGTTTTTATACTCGGTCAATTACGAAAAGAGAAGACCGAAGATCAAGATGATGACGCGGATTCGAAACAGCACATTAAAAAAGTTATATAAAATCAGAGCTAAAAACAGCTTCCTAACTAAGTTGGTACTTGACGGACAGTATCTAAGAGGTAGTAGCAGCGATGCTTTCTTAATGTGATCAACATGGTTCCTTAGCTTCTTCTTTTTCTCTAATCAGTTCTTTCGTCCGCCACGTCTTTTCATCGAGGACGTACACTGAGGGCAATACCACTTCCCTTTTGGTGGTGCAGTGATCCCCACGCATGGATAATGGAACCATTCAAAGGGGCACTAAAAAGCAATCATTATAAATCTATTCGCTTTTATATATA